TGAAACTTATGTATTTAATGTTAAACAGGCCATAGATGATGCTGCTGATAAATTAGATCAATCGGATAAGAATAATGTGGTTGAGAAATGCAATGAAACCATAAAATGGCTCGATAACAACACCACAGCTGAGAAAGAAGAATATGAATATAGAATGGAGGAATTAACTAAAATTTGTAGTCCGATTATGACAAAGATGCACCAACAGGGCAAGGGCAAACCAGGCACAGAACCAACCAGTTGCGGTCAACAAGCCGGAGGTTTTGGTGGTGGCAACTACAGAGGTCCAACTGTTGAAGAAGTTGACTAAATGCCAAAGATTTGTAAATTGTAAATTGTAAACTTTAAATTGTAAATATTGTAATTTAGTGAAAACTTATTTTTAGATGTAGATGTATATGTTAATTTGATCTATCGATGAAATTGTATTACTTAAAGACTGTGTTCTAGTTTAAATATTTATTTTATAAATAAGTTTGTTAACTAAGTGTAAGTTAACTTTAAGTACAATATTTAGTTTAAAATAAAGTCTAAAATTTTTAAATTAAAATGAATTTATTTGTTTTATTTACTTAACTTGATTGGGAAGATACTTGATTTTCATTTTTGCTTACTAATTACAAATAGAAATAAATAAAAGTTTTGAGAAAAATATAAATATGTTTCTGATTTTTTGGTATTTTACCTATCCTAATCTATCAAATTTTTTATATCACTAATTTATTCGTACCTTCAGATAAGTCGTGCCATCAATTTGGTCATCTTTCTCAGTTCTATTTCAACTGCGCACTACTGATCTACTGATTTTTTGAATTATCTCTTGTTTTTGTTTTTGTTTTTGTTTTGAGGTGTATTTTGCTTCTATCCTAAAGTATCATCAACGTTCCAACCATTTGATATGCTATTATTTTCATTATATGGATGAAAGATTCTTTACATGATAGTTATTTAAGTTTGGAATTCAAACGAATATACGTTTTCAGTTTCACATCTCGGTATAGCTTGAGATTACGAAGTGTTTCGACTCAACTTTGGTATGTGAGAAAGCAATCCTTTTGAAAAGTCTGCCATACTTCACTTAAAGTCAGTGCGTACAGCATATGTTATGTTGTGACTACTTGCATGGCATATTCTATAAGATTAAAAATAAGTCTTATTACTTTTACAATGACATATCTCAGTTGGAAATTTGGCTGAACTAAATATTTAGCACATCCGGATTCGATGTATTCCGTTTAAGATAGAATACATCGCTAATCTGTGTATTGTTCATAAAATTTATGAAAAACAAAAATAATCTAATTTTTTTATTATCTACCGCCTCAGTAAATACATATATTGACAGTACTGTAATATTTTAAAACGCAACTGACTTTACTTTTCCACCGTGACGAAATGAATAATTTATTTTCCTAAATTTATCAAAGCCTTTTCAACTTAAGTAAGGTTACGTTTGGTTAAGAATATAGTACAAAGAGATTACAGATAGTTTTCAAGAGTCGTCGGGTGTACGTCCAGTAACTGTCATTCTTCATAGATGTGTTAGTGCCGTTTGATCATTAAAACGAATTAAGAAGAGAGTAACGTAGTACTGAGTTTGTTTTGCATACTGATGCGAATTTCTTCAATTTAGGCCAAGAGGATTTCCTGATCTGAAAAATAACTTGATATATCCAAACTTTCATAGCCAACCACATATATTTAGTTTAATTTCCACTTTAGCCAGTTTATTATTTTATCAGAAACTTGGATGGTAATCAATGAAGTGATGTAAAAAGAGCTTTCGTAGGGACGTAAACTAAGGATCGAATAATTTGTACTACAGCTGTCCTTCCTACTCAGAATTTATCCTGTTCAATAACAGCTGTATAGGAACAGCTATTACAGATGTGCCAAGTGTAGTTTTGATACCTGAGGTGATTATATTGGGTTGAAATAAGTAGTATCTTAAAAATTTTGACCAGACTTGCATCTCGCTTAAGATTTAAGAGGGAATTTGTGATAGCGTTAAGTATACAGTAGTAAAGGCACAGTCGATATCCACAAAATTATAATCTTTGAAGACAAAAAATTTATAGAAAAAGTGCTCTTTCCACAGACTTGCTTTTAGTATAAGTATGCTAAAGAGTAGAGTAATACTAATTGTATTCTTGATGTGGATGATAAGAAATTTGTCCTGCATTTTTAACAGAAATTATCACAAACTGATCAGTCTATGGTCAGTGGGTTTTGAGTGCGCTCCCTTCTCAACTTTGAAGTTTAATACTACAAGAGAGATTCTACAACAGCTGGTATACAACAAATAAATGATGGACTGTACATTCTCGTATATTTCTAAATCAGGATAAGACATTTCGTTTTTTCAGCATTTAGATCTACTATAAAAAAGTAATATTAATATTAATGACATTAGATCGCTAAGGATTTGTACTCAATGTCAGAGCAAGTGGAGTAGAAATTTTACAATAGCTGCAGATATACAGATAGCTCGTAGCTCGTACCTGGTAGCTGATAGCTGGTAACTGATAAATTATTTATTTATTTTAGTTAGTTTCAAACATAGATCTTAACATAGATCGTATCAATCAAAATCGTATCGCTGTACCTTTTCTATGATATAAAATAGGAGAATGAAGAAGTATTTTGCTTTCTTTTATCGTCAAACACAATTACCGTTTATTACTAACCTACGTCAATATGCGAAAGCTTGTCTGTTTGTCGTAGATTGAAAAATAAGCAAAAATGAATTGATAAATGAATTTGCATATATTGACAACAAATTGAAATTTGTTATTTTTATTTGTTATTTGTTATTATAAATGAAAATTTTCTCTTCACAAGTACCGTCGTAGCGTAGTGCCGTAGTGCCGTAGTTTCGTAGTACCGTAGTACTGTTGGTACAAAGCTGTGCGTCTCTGGTCGTAGCAATTCAATGGCAATTCTAGAAGTTGCTGTGACGTAGCGGGTCAATATACAGCGATAATAAAACCATTTCATTCATAACGTTTGTTTGGAAATTTCTAGAGGCAATGCAGAAAAACATATTCACACACATTTACATATTTTATATAAATAAGTTCTCTAATGCACTCTAATATTCCCTTTATAATATTTTAAGAGAGTGCTTGTGTTTGTCACGTTACACACACAATTATACTAAGCTAATATTCACTATTGTGCAGCTGGTAAAATGTGTGCATACACTGAACTCTTTAAATTTGTGTTTAAATTTGTCTTTCTCTTAAACTCTTCATTTATTGGTCGCGTATCTTGAACATTTGATTCCCGAATATTCTGTAAGTTTCTTGAAAGAGTATCTAGATACTTCTCTGAAATGTAGATTTTTGTATAAAAGGCGGTGAAAATTCGAAGAGCATCAGTTTATACAAAACATTTGAAGTGAAAAGATTGACTGAGAAGAGGAGAAGTCAGAAAGTTTTTGTGCAAAGTTTAAAAAGAAAGAAAACTATTCAAAGCAATATATAAGCAATATATATTAAAACTTAAATTGAATTGAATTGAATTAAAAATATTAAATTGAAAAATTACTATCAAATATCAATAAACAAGAATACATATAAAGAAAGAAAATGTCAGCAATTGGAATTGATTTGGGAACAACATACTCATGTGTCGGTGTATTCCAGCACGGAAAAGTTGAAATCATCGCTAATGACCAGGGCAATCGTACAACACCCAGCTATGTTGCGTTCACAGATTCTGAGCGATTGATTGGTGACGCCGCTAAGAACCAAGTGGCAATGAATCCAAAGAATACAGTATTCGACGCTAAACGATTGATTGGCCGCAAATATGATGACCAGAAAATACAAGAAGATATGAAACATTGGCCATTTAAAGTGGTGAACGACAGTGGTAAACCAAAAATTAACGTCGAATTCAAAGGCGAACAGAAGAGATTTGCACCCGAAGAGATAAGCTCAATGGTGTTAACTAAAATGAAAGAAACAGCTGAAGCATATCTTGGTACAACAGTGAAAGATGCAGTCATCACAGTACCTGCCTATTTTAATGATTCGCAGCGTCAAGCGACAAAAGATGCTGGTGCAATAGCTGGTCTTAATGTGTTACGTATAATAAATGAACCGACAGCTGCTGCATTAGCGTATGGGCTAGACAAGAACTTGAAGGGCGAACGGAACGTTTTAATATTTGATTTAGGTGGCGGTACATTCGATGTTTCGATTTTGACAATTGATGAAGGATCTCTGTTCGAAGTGCGATCTACGGCTGGTGATACACATTTGGGTGGTGAAGATTTCGACAACAGATTGGTGAATTATTTGACTGATGAATTTAAGCGTAAATACAAAAAGGATTTGCGCTCAAATCCAAGAGCACTTCGTCGTCTGCGAACAGCTGCTGAACGTGCCAAACGTACTTTATCCTCTAGTACTGAAGCAACAATCGAAATTGATGCATTATTTGAGGGTATTGATTTCTATACGAAAATAAGTCGAGCACGCTTTGAAGAGCTCTGTGCAGATTTATTCCGCAACACATTGCAACCAGTAGAAAAAGCGTTGACAGATGCAAAAATGGATAAGAATCAAATTCATGATATTGTATTAGTTGGTGGATCTACTCGTATACCGAAAGTACAAAACTTACTTCAATCATTCTTCTGTGGCAAGAGTTTAAATTTGTCAATTAATCCTGACGAAGCTGTCGCTTATGGTGCAGCTATTCAAGCAGCCATACTGAGTGGAGATAAGAGCAGTCAAATACAAGATGTACTACTAGTTGACGTTGCTCCGCTTTCGTTGGGTATTGAAACTGCTGGTGGTGTTATGACAAAGTTAATAGAACGTAATAGTCGCATTCCATGTAAACAAACAAAAACATTCACCACTTATGCTGATAACCAACCTGCAGTCACTATTCAAGTATTTGAAGGTGAACGAGTCATGACAAAAGATAACAATCTTCTTGGAACATTCAATTTAACTGGCATACCACCAGCTCCTCGTGGAGTTCCTAAAATTGACGTCACCTTCGATTTGGATGCAAATGGCATCTTAAATGTTGCAGCAAAAGAGATGAGTACTGGTAACGTAAAGAACATAACCATCAAAAATGATAAGGGTCGTTTGTCGCAAAGTGAAATTGATCGAATGGTAAATGAAGCTGAGAAGTATGCCGAAGAAGATGAAAAAGCGAGACAGCGAATCGCCGCACGAAATCAACTTGAAACTTATGTATTTAATGTTAAACAGGCCATAGATGATGCTGCTGATAAATTAGATCAATCGGATAAGAATAATGTGGTTGAGAAA